TTAAAACAATTTTCTAGGCCTTTCTCTAAACACAGTGGATGTGCTTGCAAGTGAAGGCTGCCTTTTACGTATTTCGTCTTTTCTACTCCGACATTTCCTGACTCCAAACCCGTGGGCACTAAAATAGCTCAGGCATAAATTGGGTGCGGGACCTCAGCCACAGGCCAACTATGCAGCCTTTAAGAATTACAGCACATGGACACTTTAATGTCTTACCAGAACATTACAGGGCCTGTAACCACCCACAGGTCACCTTCCCCATTTGAAAACATCAACTACATTCCTATTCCTGACCAGTCGTGTCTTATCTGTAAAAGGAATTACTGAGGAAGGGTTACAACCCGACCTGCCAAAGGCTCGTGATGGAAGGCAGCAGGTTCCACTTGTAAAGATGCGGTACCAAGCAAAATACTCACTTCTGCTGAGCTCATTTTTGCAATTCCTTGTCCTGAACAAAAGCACGACTTGTATACTAAAGAAATTCAGGGTGAAGACAATCAGAAATGTTATCCTGATTTTTCTGAAAGTGTCCGTACCTTGCACAGAGCAGTAGCTGCGCAGAGCAGCCCATCTGCCATCCACATCACCCAGAAGGTGCGGTGCTTGCATGTGTATTTTTCTCCACAAAGCATGCAAACAGCAGTAGAGATACATGCAATCAGTGTCACGAATCATTCCTAAAGTAACAATTATATCTTTGGCAAACTCAGCTAGTGCTGCAATAGCACTATGGTAGCCAGCTGTCTTTTTTGTGGCTTGACTACATGATTTTCTAATAAGAATCAAATAAATTCTTAAAGTTACTGAGGGATTAACATATTGGTTTCTTATGCAGAATTATTTTCTTATGCTATATGCTGCAGGCAAATCATGCCATAGTATACGACCACATAACAAAAAAATGTGAGAGTAAATGCAATTATTTATATGATTATGTCATTGTTATCAGTACACAAAGTACATTGTGCTGTAAATAAAGGCCATCTGTAAACAAATATACTAAATAAAGCCTACTGAAGGCAATGAAAAGACTCATTAACTTTGGTAGGTTTTAAATCAGGATCATCTGCTGTTTTGAGGAGGTTTTCCAGAATGCATTAAGCACTTAGGACAAGTTTCAGTCAGAATGCATGGCTCATACTCTCCTCTATTCCACTCAAGTACATTCCTGAAAATTTTAACTTGTAATTTTGATGGTTTTAAGGAATAGAGGAAAAAAAAAAAATTCACCCATACCTGTGCGCGAATAATTTTGTTCTACATCACACCAACACACAGCACTAGCTATAGTCTTTAAGGTGCCATGCAGAACAGTGGCAGTGAAGGACACAACATGCCATGCAGCACAGCTGTTTTCCAGCAGAAGACAATCATAAACTTCTGGGTTAAGGTAGAAAAGGCCACCTAGCTCTTGGTTATCAATACACACCGACACTACCAGAGGGACTCCAGTATGCAAAAACTGACATTGTGACATAGCAGTCCAAACCCACGTCCATGCCAACGTCGCCTCAGGAACGCAAATCACAAAATACCTTCAGAATGAACCGCCGTCGGTAAACTCTTGTAGTAATTCTCTGCTCTTCATCTGAGCTTGAATCACTCTCAGTCTCACTGTCACTGTCACTACATCCCTAACAAATGCAGTTTTAGTACATTTGAACAGCACATTTGCAAGACAGAACATGCTGATCAGGACTAGGAGAAGAAAACAGAGGTTATCGTGGACAGTGTTTCTCCTGCCTCTAGTATGTACATAATGACTTGTAAATTTATTCCTGAAGTATATGCTCCTTGTTGTAGATTGATAAGTACAGCTGGCATGGAATATCTCAGCAGCTCTTAAAACTTAGAAAATGGTAATTGGAATGTATCTGACCTGTGAAATTTCTAAACCTTACACTCTAGCGTAAAGTACAATCATTCTGCAACTTTCTAAGAAGGGAACTGGAAGACCTCAGGTTAGTACAAGGGAGAATAGCCTGACACTGGTCTCAGGTTGGTGTCAGGAGGTACAACAGCCACGTGCAGGCATCTACTTCACCCTGGCACCTCAGACAGCCACAATGTTTTCCCCTCTGAAACCCAAAGAGCTACTCGGCTTTGGAGCTGAGCAGCCCTGTGTGCACATACGTGGTGGAGGGCTTCATACCTATGTGTGTGACAGACACAGGGCAGAGGTCCTTCTCACATGATGCTTGGCTGAACCAGCCTTTTTCTGAACAGAGAAATTTGAAAATTTTCTCTATAGTTGTTCGATGACAGCCCAAATCTGATTTAAAAGGCATGAATAGTAAGTATTGCTAACTGCATTTCCGTTCTTCTCTTTGAATCTGGCCCAACACATCCCAAACAAGAAGCACTTCTCATAAATGATGTGTAAAATGAAAGTAGGCATAGGTGGGTGGAGGAGAAAAAGGACTATGTAACAAAAAGCATTTAGGGCAGGATGACAGTATTCATCTGTGTGCAAAGTCTCCTGCTGTCCTCTGACACTAGCCAAACACACATACAAAAAATTATAATCTGACCCTGTCCTGAAGAAGTAACAAGAAGCAGACGACTCCCAAAGCACACAAAGGTTTTGGAGGAAGAGTTATTTTTTAATAAACAGCTTCAAGTGGCTTATTTGTGTTGGAATTCTGAGACTGGGAGTCACCGTGACCACACAGTGGACATCATCCTTTCTGGGACAGCAGCGCAACTGTGCTGTGCTCCTCTCATTTAAAGAGATCACTGGAATCTGATGCTTGAGCATTCATAAGGGAAGTGCATGGCCTACATTGTTACTGCACTGCTTTTGTAAACTTTTGGGCATTTAAGCGGACTTGGGACGAGGTCAACAATTCATTTCATCCACGTCCCCAGGCAGTAGCGCAGTATCAATCATCCGAGTTTATCTCTTGTTGCAGACTGTGTGCCAAAACGCTAATACAGCCCTCACCCCACAGGTGGATGACTATTGATTCTCAGCTCTTTCCCAATGGGTCACAGAAGATAATCTCTTATTTTGGGGAAGTAATTTTATTTTGTTCCTCCTTTCTTTCCACAAAAATAAATCTGTTTCTTCCATAATTTCCTCTTCATGGAGCATATCTGAAGAATGCCTTGCAAAAAGATTGTAGCTGAAGTTCTCTCCCTGTTCTCATGACAGCTCATGAGTCTTCTCACCATGAATAGCACTGTTAGTAATTAAACTATTGACTTCAAATTAGATTAGAAGAAAGATATTAAAAGCAATTCTTGTTGTCATTCTAACAAACACTAGTTTGCTACCTATTGTGAGAGACCCGCGTTTAGAAATTACATTATTTTCTGATACCAGTTTATTCAAAGATCACATCTATAAAAAGACTTGTTATTTAGAAGATAAGATTATCACCCTCTACCAATAAAGTAAAAGTAGTGCAAAAAGCTCGCATAAAAAAATGCACACTCTTATTCTTCCCAATCCAAATGGAATATCCAAAAGTAAAGAGCAAACAGAAGTGGAGGACAACTCATCTTCTCACTGATGGGAATCCAGAGGGGGAAGCCCAGTGTTGTTGCACAGCCTCAGCACGTTACAATGTGCATCTACACTTATCTCTTGAGTTTAAACTGAACACAATCATGTCAGCCTGAGGTCTGACCCAAAGCCTACCAAGACTAAAGGAACTCTGCCATCTGCCTTTAATTGCCTTTGCAGGAGGCTCTTACATTTTTAAAGTATTCAGCAATTAGTGAACATTAGGAAAGATCTTCACTGCTTCAACTGTGTCACGAACTAATAACAAGATAATAACAATCATATGCTGCATAAATGCTGAGACTGATTATGTTACCATCTAATAAAAGAACTCTTGGTTTTATAATCGAAAGAATAGTTTAAAATGAACTAATTTAAACCTGAATGATTTACTGCAGCCCACCACAGCCAACATTTTTATTGTGCTATAATAAAAAAACCTCACCACACTGTATCATGTAGAAGCAATTCTACTGAAATACCTCACTATCAGAAGTTATAATCTTCTCCAGCATTATGCCCAGGAAAAGACAATCCCAGAAGAGAGAGGAATGTAGAAGAAACACTGCAATTCCCTTTTGCAGCCTGGTTCCCTGTGGCCCTGTGGTCTATTTCGTGGCAATCCTCCCACTGCTGGAGTGGGAGGTGCAGGCAGCTATGGGGCTATGTGCCATTCTTTCCATTAACTTTATTTTAAATTTCTGGAAAATAAATATGAGCAAATGGGAAAGTTACTAAAATCTTCATTATCAAAAAAACCCCCAACTTATGACTGAGGTTTTGCAGTTAAGGATGTGCAAGCTGGACAAGGTAGAAATGAAGAGGAGCCCCTCTACAGTGTTTTAAGAAGAAAGAACCACCACCTGGCAAAGTGCTTTACACATTCGGAAATCTTTTGATTGGGAGGAACGAGGCCATGAAACAAAAAAAACATAAGGAGAAGATTAAATATTACCCCCCAAAATTATTTTCCTGCAAATTAACAGAGTGAAAAACCACAGGGTCTGTTGGGGACAAGAAGGAGGATAGAGGCCAAAGAGTCCCTATATCTCTGCTCACTTTAATGTCACAAAAAGAGTGGACAACACCTTACTGGAAGCAGATGAGGACAGCTGAGCTGTGTGGCACGGTTTGCATAGGTGGTATGTCAGGGCAGGAAAGGGCTCTGCTCCCCAGCGATGCGGGATGGCATCCCAACAGCTGCTCTAACCCCTTCCAGGGCTCAGGGCCAGTCAGGCAGAGGATTATGCAGCCCTGCTCAGCTCCTCTGCCTTCCCTGACTCCACCTCATTCTATTCACACTGCAAAACAAATTCCCACTAACTTCCATTTTTCTTAATTTAGCAATAAATAGAAAAAGCATAAAGAAGGATAAGAAAGAAAACAATAACAAAACGACACTCTGTCACAAACAACATTACAAGTCTTACAGAAAAATATGTCCAGCCATACAGACTCCTCACACAGTTAATTATTACAGGACATACTGTACCTTCTGTTCAGACATTACTGCTCCCTCCTCCTCTTGGATGCTTGTTCTTGGCTTGCCATCTTCCAAAGTACTCCAGCTCATCTTCTTCACACTGACAGGCACAGATATTTTGTTGCCTTCTGTTGTTGGCTTGCTAGTGTCTTCCAAAGATTTCTGATATGCTGTTGATGATAATGTTTGCTCATCAGTACCAGCTGAAATTTGGGGCTTTGTTTTCAGGACTTCTTTGTCACTCTGCTTTCCCACATCATTTAAAGATTCCTGGATGTAGGATTTAGTTTTCGACTCTGTCGTGGATTCGGATAGGCTTCCGTTTGTTTCTGGCTTCCCTGCTTCGCCTTTGACATATGAGGTAACAGAATCCCTACATTGGTCCGAACTACAAGACAAAGGAAAAAAGAACAGATAGCCATTCAGTGCTTAAATCACATGCAGAAGGCCACAGCACAGAGCCTCTTACTTTTATTCTCTAAGCTTTTATTCTTAGTGCATACGTTCCAGACAGAGAAAAGTAAAATTCTAAATTCGGCTTGCAAACATCAATCTATTCAATAGCCATGTCTTGTGCATCATGGTATCTTTTCAGAAGCAATGGGACTATGGTGAACACTGGAAACAAGGCCAAAAGTTTTATGTTAATCCCCTTCCACTGGGAGAGGGAAGGAAAAAGAGAAAGAAAAATACACAAAACCTACCATTTGCCTCATATAATCATGAGATAAATCCCTCAGGCATGGATTCTTTAACTTGCTCTCTAACCAAGAAGGTGATGAAAGTATCTGTTAACATGCGATTATCGTTAATGACCAAATATGTTATTTTTCCCCAAACTACAATATATGAACCCCAGATAAGCCATGCCCTTAAAAAAAATATTGGCATCTGAAAATAAAACCTTAGACGGTGCAGACTTCCAAAAATACACAAAGGTAAAGGCCAGACAGGTTGCTACAACATAGAAAGCTGACCAAAATTTTGCCTCAGACTACCTATGGACACATTTATCCTGCACTTCTAGGTGCATTCTTTCTTCTCTCTTGCATTTTTGCTTGATTTTAGATAAGCACTATGACTGTACACGTGAAAAAAACTAGAGCTATTTCCCAGCAAAACTCTTACAAAAGGTAGCAAATTCAATTCATCTCATTAGAAATCAGTATGTTATCTTCTTAAGGAAGTGATCTAATTTACTAATTTAACACAATATAAAATGCAGAACAATGCTTGCTTAACAACAGAAATGGCATCGGTAGTATATCAAGTGCTTTACATTCCTGAAAGACAATCAGTTTGCTGAAATCAATGGCCAAATTCCCACTGGATTGAATAAGAGAGTGTCTAATGCTGCCTGGAACCTTAAAACATCCGGAGTCAAAGCTGCAAAGGATGTAAACTGCTGACAGACAAATGATCACTCTGCAGATAATCATTCTCTGCTGATTTACAGCTCCTGCAGACCTGGCTCCTTCAATTAGTGATCAGGGGGGCCACATTCAAAAGAAAGGCAGGTTCCTGCTCTTCACCCAGTGGGTACCAGTAAGGCTGAACACAGCAAGACATATTGTGAATGTTGAAAGCTTAAGTAGGTCCAATGGGAGGTGGAAAAGCTCACGCAAGAGATATGCATTGAGGGTAAATAAGAGCATCCATCTCAGCATGTCATTATGCTGAAAGCAAGTGAAGCTTGTGAGAGTACAGGAGGAGAAGAGCATGTATGTCCCCTCTCCTCCTTCCCTGAGCATCCTCTGCAGTCACTTCTGGGACACAATGGGACTAGATGGATTTGGTATCACCATTCTGACCTTCTTGTGCTGTGCAACTCATCTCCTTACAAGTCTAGTAAATCAGCATGACATAACACACTTGAAGTAAGTGTTATAAAAACAGTGACAATTTAAAAATTGGCTTATGGAAAAAAGTAACAACTATCTGAGGGAAGGCAAAGAGATACAAAGAAAAGGAGGACTGCTGAAAAGGTACTCAAGAAATCAAACGATTTCAGACAATGTACGTTTTACAGTCCTCGATTTCACTTACATCTATGCATCACTTAGATTAATTAAAATAGGAATGCATAAGATAAAGAACAGGAAAAGTAAAATTACCCACTAAACATAATATAAACTACTTCTAAAATATTTATATTAAGAATGAAACCTGATAAACATTTTAAAAGACAAATATGCCTGGGGCCAAATCGAGTCAGTTTTTACTTTTTCTGTCCTATATATATGCATATCCATATATAGAGATGCATATATACATATTCTCATAGAATAGTAGAACAGCAGCCTCAGTAGTGCTCCTGGAGGTAAAAACAACATGGGAAGGTCTGCTTACACACACACTCTTATACAAAGGTGCTCACCTATCATCCAAGCGATCTAGCAGGCTACCACCTATTCTGCGTCCTGATGTCGGTGGTTCAGTGACACTTGACGAGTCAGGCTGCCAACCTGTAATTGAAGACATTTCGTGTTCTGCTTGTTGAACGCCTTTAAGTATTGACCATACTCTTTCTTCCGTCATCTCCTCAGACTCAGCTCCTTCTTCCAGGTGAATGTCCTCAAACAGAGATTTAAACTTCTCTTCTGTCATCTCCTCATCAGTACCAGACTTTTCTCTCTTAGGCTGTTCAGTCCTTACTCCTGTTTTACTAGTCTCTTCACTCTGCCTTTGTTTAGCATCTTTTGATATCCCGCCATAACTACCAAGATACCGCGGAAAATCCTTAAGGTCCACTTCCTCCAACTGGCTCTCGCCTACGGAAATATCTTTAGGTGTTCCTTCTCTAGGCACTGAGAAATCGAGTTTGCTGTCGTCCAGTGAAGTGTCTTCTTCAGTCACCACTGGTGGTGCTGCTGCTGTACCATCTATATGCCCCTGGGAGGTCACTAACACGTCACTCAGTCTACTGGGAGTTCTAAGGGGTGACTCTAGGCTAGAGGTGTCGCTAAAGAAATCATCCTGATGGAAAGGGGTGGGCGGCACGAAGCGCAACCCAGTGGGAGTTTCCAGTTCCACTTGAATGTTGGGATAACCTAAGGAAGACAGCACATTTGGACTGACTGGGATGAAGCATGGAGCAACAAATAAGCAAATGTCAAATGATTCATGAGTTACAAAAAGTACGAAACGTATGAGGAGGTGCAGGTGTATAAGAACAAATGCAGTTCTGATAGATTTCTTTACTTTGTCCTAAACAGATAGAACAAAACCAGAGTACCGCTAGTGAATAGTACTGTGAAGCCAGTACTTCTGACTATTTTGTAAATAGTCTGTAAAAATTTCAGCAATTGTTTTTGCACCCATTTTAACATTTTCAAGCTATAGCAGATTGTCTTACCAGCATGCAATAAATCAAATGTGGACAAGGATGGTTGTCCCTTTATATTCAATCCAATCTCTTGCAGCCATATCGAGTAAATCTTTCTTTTCCAGTTTTTTGTTTGTTTAATTTTGGAAATTTAATAAATAGATTTTAAAGACAGAAGTAGATCATAACATAGGGCAGCCACACTTTTGCCAGTAGGTATTACTTCTAAAACAGGTCCACATTTTTAATATAATTTTATGTTAAAAATACAGAATATCCGCAATACAATGTTACTAATGTATATCTCCAATTTAACCACAGAGCCACAAGAATGGAACAGTTCAAGAATGAGGAACAGAAGTGGATCCTACTGAGGATACTAAACAACAGTAGATCTAAATACACAGCAGGACGAAAAACTAAAAAAGGAAGTTAACAAAGGGATAGGAGAACATAAGCACAACATATTCATATAGGAGAGCTATATGAATATTTCAGGTACAGTAAAGTTATACAGGTGAGAGGACTGTGGTGAGTAAGGAGATCTTGGTGATCTTGGAGAGTGAGGTGATCTTGGTGACATGGGTACAATCAGATACACTGATCAAATAAAGAGAGAAAAGAAAAGAGAAATTGATGAAAACAGAGGAAAACCATACAAAAGGATTAAAACGACAGCAAAATCTGAAGTTCGCATTCCAGCAAATAATAAGCTGGGTAAGCTATGAAAGGGAAAAAAAGACATGCCGTGGGGGTTAACTTGACATTGTGCTGCCTGCAAAGGGAGGTGCATTAACAGGGTTCGGGGTTTTTTTGTTTCCTGAATCAGCTGAGAGAAAGGCAAAGGAGGTCTGGTCTTGGTGAGGAAAGGAAGCTTGAGGAAGGCTCAGAGAAGAGGAGAGACAGAAAGCAACTGCAGAGAAGCATACTGTTTTCATAAAAAACACTGATGCTACTATTAAAAGGTGCAAGCAACATTTCAAGAGCAACTTTCTTAAAATGTCAACAGAAAAAAAATTTCTGTAATGCAATGATTCGATGACCAGCAATGCTGCTCAGTAATGGAGGTAAACTGAGCTTATATGCTCCAAAGGAAAAAAAAAATCCTACTAATACAGAGAAAGCCCAATATATACTGGAACAAATCACAAAAAAACCCAGAAGAAATATTACTTACAAAAGAAAAATCTTATTTAAGGACTTATTTATAATACATGTGACAAAACCCAAAGTATAGTACCTGCTAACATTTAAAAGAAGATAAAACACCATTTAGCATCTTCAACATACTGATAAATGATAAGTATACCAATGGCAATTCTGTTTTACAAGCAAACTTCATTTATCCTTTTAATCCGGCTCAAAATTAACCTGCATAATTCTGTTCTCAGTTAACAGCTTCCATGTGAAAATCATTACACAATTTTACCCATTAGTAGACTGTAAGAGATACTCTCTCATGCACTAATAAAACATTTTCTTATTTTTCTGCTGCCATTGTAGAAATGGTCCAAGTGAAAATCATCAAGTAATTGATGTTCACTTGTCTCAAAGAAGTTTGGTAGTAAATTGTACATTAATTTACTCTATGCAATTACTAAGCACTTCTTCTTCTGTTGTTCTTTGTTCTTTCTTCTTTGAAGAATTCGTACTATTACTTATTTAGACAGGAAGCCAAACACTATATATATA